GCAGCGCGTTGAGCACGCGCTGCGGCACGACGTGGCCGTCGGTGGAGTCGCGCGTGTCGTACAGGCCGGCGTCTGCGGCGTGGCGAGGGGGGCGAGGGGGCGAGGGTCGCGAAGACCATGGGGGGTGGGCGGCGGCAGAGCTGGCGTGAGGGCGTCTGAGAAGTGTCTGAGAAGTGTCTAGGAAGCGTCTAGGAAGTCGCACCGGCTGGCGTGAGTGTGCCGCCCCAGTCGAGGAGCAGCGCGCGGTGCGAGGAGCGCTGGAACTTGTCCAGCGACTCGACGACGTCGAGCGGCTTGAAGCCGGCGCCCATCCCGACCATGCGGAAGCTCGAGAGGCCGAAGCCGACAGAGACGAAGTCCTCCTCGCGCTTTGTCTGCGTGGCCTTGAGGTCCGTCACGAAGCGGTTCGCGAACTCCTCGAGCGTGCAGCGCTGGATGTGCGCCAAGTCCTGCGGAGGAGGAGGGGAGGGGAGACAGCTCACTCACCCCGCCCGGTGCGGCGGCGGGCGCCAGACGCGAGAGGCGAGAGGGGAGAGGTTCGGAGGGCAGGCGGAATGTTGCCTTGAGGCCACGCGCTAGCCGCTCCGCCGGCGCCATCCGGAGCGCCGTGTCGAGCGCCTCGACGAGCTCCTGCGGCGACACCGGGAGAGCCGTCACGCGCCAGGCAGGGGGGGGGGGGGCAGACGAAAGGGGGGAAGGCGGGGGGAGCGCCGCCTTTTGCGAGTTTGGGTTGACGCGCAGGCCTCCGTTGAGCACGCGAGCGAAGCCGGAGAACTCGGAGAGGACGAGCACGCCGGCGGGCAAGCCGCGCAAGTGGCGCGAGTAGACGTACTCGAGAGGCCACACGTTGACGGCCTCGCGCAGCTGCGTGCCGACGAGCATCCCCATGCCTGGGGCGTGTCAGGGACGTGTCGCGGACGTGTCGCGGACGACCCGGGTTGGAGCCGGCCCTCCCCTCTGCAGCTGCAGACCCTCGCCTCTCACCTGCCCACAGCTGTAGCCGCGCCGCCGGGGAGAGGCTCGACCGGACCTCGAAGTGCACTGTGCCCGGATAGGCGGCGCTGATGCGCTCGACGATGCGCGTGATCTCCGCCTCGACCTGGCCAGCCTCCTGGATGTGGATCTTGTTGCGCGCGCCGACGCAGACCTGCAGCAGCACGTGCCCGTTCCGGTAGTGCGGGTAGTCGCGCAGCAGCGCCTCCCACGCGAGCATCTTGGGCGCGACTCCCTTGAGCCGATCGAGGTAGTCCACGCCGCCCACAACCACGCGGCCGGAGGAGCAGACCTGTTCACAGATGGAGGCGTGAAGAGACGCCGTTCACAACCGCACGGACCGAGGAGCTAGCCTGCGCGATGGCGCTGCCCAGCTCCGCGGCGCAATCCGTCGGCGCGGCGAGGGGCGCGTGCGCGTGGCCGTGGAAGGCGGCCCGCCCCGAGGCGGCGTGGCTCATGGCGGCTAGCCGCGCCTAGCGTGCAGGGTCAGGGGCGGGATGAGGAGGTGTGCGGGAGGAGGGGCGTGGCTCGTGACGGCGAGAGGCGCCTCGAGCTTGGGGGGCGAGATGCCGAAGGTCGCCACCTGCAGCATGACGTGCCTCCCCTCGTACTCGACCCCGAGGTAGCCGCCCTTGTGGAACTCGTACTCTAGCCCGAGCATCCGCTTGCAGCAAGAGAGGAAGTTGCGCGTGTACTCGAAGAGCAGGAAGCCTACGCTCCGGCCACGACTCGTGAGGAGGGGGTGCGAGGAGCTTCGCAGGGGGTCGAGGAGGAGGAGGCCGA